AAACAAAACTAGCAGCCCCTAAATCATAATCAGCATAGTCATTCAGGATCATTTGAGTTTGGGGACACATTTTTTTTCTGTAACTGCAGCTGCAGTTTTGGTGTGGAATCCGAGCCTGCGTGAGGACGGCAGCCTTGGTTGTAAAGCTTCACCAGTAAAATTTAGTGTTGCATAAAAGGAACCTTTTGTTGTTACTCAGCTGCGAGACAAAAACACTCTTGCTTCTTCTAAAAACCCTCTCCATCATCCTCAGCTGGTTAGGAAATACTGCTGCGTTAGACATAACAAAGCCCTTTAACCTTGTCTGCTGACCATAGATTACAGGTAACCCTGCTAGCAGGGAAGCGCCATCAATAAATCAAAACATGGCTGCCCCGCACCTGCAGATCACGATAAATCTCCTTCAGTCATGATGCTGCAACCAGAGAGCTGCAGCTAATCTCTTTAGAACTGAAAATACAGCAGTGCTTGAAGCCAAGACAGCCAGAATTTTTACTTTTTGGTTTCAGCCTCTCTGGAATATACTGTAACTCTACAGCTCTACTGCTGTCTTCCCCCCCCCGTCTTATTTTGGGCACTTTTTTTGGAGGGGATGTTACTCTTTTCACTATACAAGGAGTCCAGACAGACCTTTAGGAAACTGAGAAATAGTTTAATTTCACTTCAGTTCACTTATTTATATGCCAATGAGTATAATCTAGACTTAACAAGAATGACAGTTCCACTTTGCATATTAAATTGTACCACATTTATCTCACCAGATATACTTATATCCTTTACGTAAGTAAAAAAAAAAAAAAACCCACACTAATACAACAAAATAAAATCACTTCATTACATGAACAGGTTCTGTATTTTTTTTGTTAGCAAATTACAGGCTACTTAAAGTACCAAAAGTAGTACTCATTATGCATATTAGCTGCTTTTTAGAGTGTTAATAATTATATATATATATTATATATATACTATGAATATTTTATTCATCCTCTTTAAAGGTGCAATATATGACATTCAGAGTCTGGGCTGGGATTGCCTACACATGGCTCTCACCTCTCACAAGCAAAGGAGGTGGCTGGGCCAAAATGGTGGCGGCTAGCAGTGCTAACATTGCTAACAATGACAACTTTGCCCACAGAGTTAACTGTGGAGGGAACTGGAGGGTGGGCCTTGCACTTCCACGACAACGCCGTCCCGCCACAATGGGTTGGGACAGTGTTATTAGAGGTGACTGCAATATGAGCGCAGTGCAGAGCAGCGGGAATTAGCTAGCCAATGAAAGAAAGGACTCACATGCGCTAGATGCACACGCAGCCAGACTGGCTACCAGAACAAAGAACAGAGAAGCTCTGATTACAGCGGTAGTGTGGCGGACCCTGAGGTGCTGAGTTTGTTGTGGTTCACCAGTGACTGTTTTTCCCCTCTGTTCTTGAAGGCATCACGGGAGTGCAGTGTTTGATTTAGAGCACCTGGGCTGAGTGCTCCTTGAGATATAAACCCAGCTCCAGTGTTGCTCGTTCTCTCTCGTTAGCATGTTGGGGCCTTTGTTTGGTTTTTCTTTTGTTCTTGCTTCACAACACCTTACACAACACTATTTTCACTCAGTCACATCTACATCACTGATTTACCATTTAGCCACACTCCATATAGCCTTTTCTTAGTTGTTCACTTTGTTAGAATAAATACCTTTTGATTTGACACCATCCACTGTATCCTTCCTCGTAGTTGTCAAGGCCTAGGATGATTGATTGATTATCTGCTCAGGACACCAATACTCCACTATATCTTTCCGTATCAAATAGTCATGTGCTGCTATATTGATGTTCTGAATGTCATATATCGCACCTTTAATGATGTAGGCCTGGAAATAAGGACACCTGAAGTGTGACCTCCTCAGCAGTGGTCAAAATGGAGCAAATTTTAACAATTTGATACACCTTTAGGTAGTTTAATCTGTAACAGTGCAACATAGGTATATTTTAGAAGTTTTGACGTTAAGTAAAAGTACCTCAAATTTTTACTTCAAGTGGCTTTAAAGTGAGTTTCAGCTGTTTGTTTAGCTGTTTGGCCTTACTGCTTTGGTGCACTCTCACTGCTCTCATAGTGTTTTTGGTCGCAGCAGGCAGCTGTTTCCAGTGAAAATGCATTAAAAACCCACTGTACATTATCTGCTCAGCACCAAACAGCAGACAGACACAGTTAGGGACTATAGCTGGTGAGCATAGTAGAATGTTAAGCAGCTAAAGAGCCAGATATTTCCCTCAGGAGCTGGTGGAGACCAAAAACAGAGCTAAAACAGAGTGAATAGTCAGTTCTGCTGACCGGAGCTTTCATTTGACATATGCTTGAAGCAGCTTCTTTTACATATATATTTGAATGACTAATAGTTAAAGTGCAATGTGACTGTGAGGGTCTCTTATCTGCAGTCTCCTTTTTCTCTGTTAGGATGAGTGTGTGTGTTATTGCAGTGCATCATTCAGAATCTAATTAGGCTTTACACTAACATGATCACTGTACAGTTCAACTTCATTAAAGATAATCTCTGTGCAGGCACTGCTGGACACAGCAGGCCCCTCCCTCTGCCCTCGATCCTGGCATTGATTGGTGGAGTGATTTGCAGCATGTAATCCAATGCTCTGTGACAGGTTGTAACTGAGGTTAAAGATGGCAATTTAATTATGTGTCAGAGGTCACATTAAAGGCTGACCTTTGACCCTTTACCGCAAGACTCTGCTGATTAGTGACAACCCTGTGTTATTGTTTGAACTGATCAACATAACAGACGAATACGGGTGCAGAATAACAGGGTCAGTGGTTTTCTCAGGCCTCTGAATTTGCAATAATGTTTGGTAATTTGAATCTTCATTCTTTATGTATCCTGTATGTACTTAATTTTTCATTCTGCATCCTTGTCTTTAATAACAAAGAAAAAATGACTTAGCATCAATGAGAGACGCCCTGAAAGAAATGGAACTTCTTTCATTTCATCATGTTAAAAATACTTATATGAAAAAGACAGTTTGATTAAAATGTTTAGATTTTTTAATACCACTCTCATCTGTATGTTAATTGTGAGGCTACAAACATCAGCTGGTTAGCTTAGTTTAGCATAAACACTGGAAGCCAGGGGACATAGCTAGCTGGTCTTATAAGCTAAAGACTACAGTCAACGGCCAACTAGAACGTATACGTTTCAGGGCCCTAAGGGTGCTTTCAGACCTAGAGTTGTCTTGCTTTGGTCCGAATCAGGGACTTATTTTGTTACAAAGTTGCATAATTGCCTAGAGTCGGTTCGTGTTCTCATGGCAGCATTTACAAGCGGACCAGATCAAATGCCTTGCGAGAGAAAGCTGCTGATTGGTCAGAATTTCCATGTGGGAAAAATCCAGGAAGTAAACAAAACGTTGAAGAAGAGTACACTTGCAAGATAAATGTGACACTTTCTAATGTCACAATGGAGGGACAACTACGCAGGTTGATTTTAGCGCTGGTCATCGTGGACTATATTGCTGTCATTGTTCATTTTAGTCAAACCATACAGTTTGAAAATGAGGTGCGGCTCCAACTAGAAAACAATGTTTTGATGCACTGGATGTGCTGAATGTGCATATTAAGGCAGTACAGGAGGAGGTGCACATTAATAATCCTCCAGGACTGTAACATGCTCATGTTTAACCCAAACAATGTGTCATGTGACTGCAGTTGGTTCAGATCGAGGTTAGAACATGTTCTCACCATAAACGAACCGCACCAGAGTTCGTTTGTAAGCGGAACGAGACCACCTTTTCAAGAAGGTCTCAGTCTCGTTTTGGTGCGCACCCGAGTGCGATTGCTGTGTTCACACTTGCCCAAACAAACCGCACTTAGGGGCCAAACAAACTTGAGTTCAATTGAACTGAACCAAACAGAGCACCCTAAGCTTACCTAGCAAGAGCTCCAAGACAAGAAATGCTTAGGCAAAGAACCCCCAGTAAAGAAATACATTTTTGTTTTTTGTACAGACTAATATAGCCTTATATTTAAATGACAGACGTGATAGTGAGAGGAGTGACAGATCTTTGCTCAACAAAAGTGAAACAAGCATATTTTCCTGTTAGTTAAACTATTCCTTTAACCTTACATCATGTCTCAGATGTTTTCATCCCAGTGGATAAACAGTGGCATGTAGCAGACCTCCAACCGCTTTGCTTTTTAATATAACCTAAATGATTCCTCATGTCATCACCTTTTGTTTTTTTCGGATTAGAGGAATGTGGCTCTGACTTTTTTATGATACCTTGAATGAGTACAAAGTTGTTCTGTTGTGTCATTAGGCCCCTGGGTACAAGCGCAGACTAACATTTCTATAGCCAGCCACATATGCAAATGATAGGGCAATTGTAGATATACAAATATGTACCCATAGTCCACGCGGCCTAATGGCCTCCCTCCCTCTGGCTAGCTCAATGGCTCATTTAGATATCTGCTTGGTTTATTATGTGAATAAGTCATGCCTGGCTTGTTACGACCCTCTAGGTTCCTGTTTCTGCTGTGTAGCTGAGATGTGTGGCGCTCAATTAGGCTGCCTGGCTAGCAGAGTTAACCCTTTGCGCCAGATAAGCTGTTTTTTTCTCAGCCAGATGGGGTTGGTACAGTATGGGGGTTTCAGGCAGGGATCAAAAGATCAATCCTAATACAGTGCTACCAGGCTGACCTCTCAGATGTAATAAAGGTGCCATCTTTCACCTTTGGGGCCTATTCGGAGCCTCCCACCGCATGAACAAACCTGGTATCTTTAAATTAGCTGACTTGCTTGCCCTGCAGGTAATTGCATTAGTTTATCAATGTTCAACACAATTTATTACTTTACTCCGGCACCAGTAGGATCCTGGTGTTAATGTCCTCTGTGAGGAGACAGGAAAGCGAGGTCTTTGTGTTTGTGTGTGTTTGTGTGTGTCTCTTTTCAAATAAAGAAAAATAAACACAATGACACCAAGAAGTGAGATCACAGTTTTATTGCCAGTCGTAGCTTTTATGTATACAAGTCTGACATGCATATTTGGACCAAATTATAACTGCACATTTCACTATACTTAAGTGTACACCTATATTGCAATATGCATACAATGTTTTGGTGACCTTACAGTTGCCTTTGAGGTTAATTCCTGCTTCTCTCTTTATGTCCATCTCAACCTCTCGTTGTCAGCGGTCATTATAGCTCTAACACTTGCTTTAAAACTTTATATGACAGCAGAGTTACATGCTTTAATAGGTGCTTAAATCAGATTGTCTTTCATTACACTAAAAACAATATTACTGTCTGTACTTTTCGGCTGAGTTCTCTGGCCAGAGGCTGCAGCGTGCCTCCCTCACATCTGTATGCATTATGGATCTGTCTGAGGTAATAAACAGACCCTGCTCTTATTCCTGCTTCCTGGTATCATTATTCCTTGCCCCTCAGATGGATTATAGCCCACTGTGCAACATGTAGATGAGTGGCGCTCCTCTGATTGCCTTATGGCCATCAGGCTTTGCATATTTACTGCCCATGAATCACGGTGTGCGGAAAAACCCACAGCAACATATTCTGATTCTCCTCCGCTTTTTACCCTCTACTCTGTTTTACACTTTCTCCGTCACTCTGCCTCTCGTCTCACTTCTTTTCCTTCAGCTATCCTTCTCACACTGCTTCCCCCCTTCTCTGCCACCCTTTCATTGTCTGTCTGTCCCTGTGCCTTGATCCCGCTCCATGCATTCCCAGCTGCTAAATTAAAGCATGTATTATTAATACTGCTATATCTTTGTCCATCCGTCTTCCCTGTTCATATGACTGCTACATTAAGTGTAAATTGTTTCGCTGTAATTCCCTTTTAATGTCCCTGTTATAATCAGTGTTTCTGGTGTGCGGAGGCAAGAGAGGGGAGGAAAAAAAGAGGCAGAGAAGGCGGCTGAGATCATAGGCTTTTACTGTAACTTACTGTTTGATGTGTGGCTCATATGCTACAGGCCCCGTAATTAGGTCTGTTTTACAAGTCAAATGTATATGGCGCCAATCTGCAAAATATGAGATTAATAAAAGAAAGTTGTCAGATGTGGCTGGCTGTGGTGTGCTGGCTGTCTCTGCTAAGCCCCAGGGAAAGAGGAGCACACTTCAGTGCTTACAGCCTACTTTTATAACAGCGACCCGTTGTCCTGTGAAAACTGAACATAACCCTGACTTAAAGACCTGCATGATTTGTAACAATCCGAGATACAGTTTGACATTGTGTCACTAAGAATTGTTAATATCTCCCTTTAGGATTCAGCAAGACATAACTGTTAGTTGTTTTCGTTCTCTTGCCTTTTTTAAAGGGTCAGTTCACAAAAAAATGCCAAATACCAATGCCAATAGTTTGGTTTAATTTGTCCAGGTTTTGAAATATCTAGATTTCTGCTTCCACTTGACTGTGATGACAGAGAAATTTCATTTGTGGTGCTGACATCAAAACATAAATATAAAGGTCCAGTGCGTAGGATTTAGGGAAATTTAAATTTTTCATTAGTGTATAATCACTTGAAACTAAGAATTATTTTGTTTTCCTTACCCTAGAATGAGCTGTTTATATCTACATATGGATCGTATTTTTCAGGGAGTCCACCATAATGTTTCTACAGTAGCCCAGAACGGACAAACTAAACAGTGCCTCTAGATAGGGCCATTTGCATTTTCACATTTTCACATCTGCCACCATTGTTCTCTCACACGCTTTGCCCATGGGAAAAGTTTCACTTGGTTGTAATCTGCATCTTTACCACTAGATGCTGCTACATCCCACACACTTGACCTTTAAATATTTTTTAATAAACAACACTTTCCAAAAACAATGTCCTGTTTTTATCAATGCTAGCTGCATGGCTTTATGGATGGCAATGTTAGCCTGCCAGTTGGTCCACCACTCAAGTCCAGGCTGAATTTTCTGGGCAATCACTGGTTGAATTGCCATGATATTTAGTACCAGGCCCCCAAGAAGTGTGTCAGGCTTTGAAGCTAATTTTCGTAGAAGCCAAACAGTGGAATTACAACTTCCAGGTCTGTCACGTGATGCCACTTATCCCCATAGATGTACATTGGAAACACATCAGTAAGTCAGTGGATAATTTTTTTTAAGCATCATAACCCCCACAAAGTGACACATTTCATTATCAGGATTAAATCTGAAGAACAGCTGCACAACTACATCATTTTATCTGCATTCAAGTTAGCGGAGGGCTAAACTGGAAGTTAGTTGCTCAGCCCATGAAAGTCTGTAGTGTGCTTGCCACATGGGTTTAACAATGCAAAAGCATAGATTGTAGTAATAACTTCATACATCTAGATAAGATGGTGCCTATTCATTCCAGTGGAGTTGCTCACCTGGCGCATACACTAAAAGGTTTTCTAGCCTCTGAGTTTAACTCTGGGGTATGCAGCCCACTAAATATGCACAGTAGTGTTTCTCCCACTGGCCCCACCCATGAACTCCTGCTCCCTTATAGACTTGTGATGATGCCACAGATTTTTTAATTGTGTTTCTTGGCTTGAGGAAAGTTTTATAAATATAAAATCACCACGGCTCTAACAATGTCCCAATGACGTTCCCATGTCATGAGTATGGTAAACATTATACCGATTTAGCACGATAGCATAGCACTGTCAATGTGAGCATGTTAGCATGATGACATTAGCATTTAGCTCAAAGTACTGCTGTGTCTAAGTACAGCCTTACAGAGCTGCTAGCATGGCTGTAGATTTTTAGTCTTGTTTGAATATAATTTTTTGCCTTCAGCACCACAAATGAAATTGTATTAATTGTATTGGACATGGAAATTGGTTGGAAATAGATGTTTATTTTTTTTTAGAAAAGTGGGTGAAGCGATCCATCCAAAGTGTCCTCTAACCTTATAAAGTTTTGTGAATGAATTACTGAGCAATATGTATCAGCTCATGAGCTTTCTGTCCCCTGTCGTCACTTTCCTCCACCCTCCTCTAAGCATTGCGTCTAATGAAATGGTGTTGATGCTTTACCATTTATCAGTCACAGAGCGCTTGGTCCACCATTATTGATTCCAGAGGGCCAATTGGATAGAAGAGTGCTGTAAACTGGGCAATTTAAAACCTGCATCCTTCATTGTCAAATGATGGGTGCAGAATGAGATCGTAAGAGGCCGAATGAGTGTAGTGGCAATAAATAAAGGGGACGAAATATAACCTGGCAGAGACAGTGCCTGTCGATATGGATTGGCGTCTCTGATGTCCTGATTATCAGGGCAGGGATGATTAGCTGTGGTGTAAGGTACTGTAAAAGAGTGGTGTGGGGGACATTTCCTCCTTGTATCTGAGCTCTGTCTTTAGTGAGACAGATGCTGTGCATGAGTAATGGCAGAGCTATCATGTCACATCGAGGCCGGCCTGCTTCATGGAGCGAGTAGGTAACAGGGAAAGAGTGTGAGGGCCCGGTAATATCGTAAAACAGTGTTTAAATATTTTAATTTCATTTGTCAGAGGGGCCCCTCCCTTGCACTCCATTACCCCGACAACCATCCTTCATCAGCTGAATGAGTGCATTATTCATTAGCACTAATTATTTTCACATAATGTCTGCCCCGATATATTTAACCTCCACATTACACCCGGGATAATGGCCTTGTAAAATTGAATTGCGAGAAAGAAGTGGAGTTGGAAAGCTCATTTAAAGAACATAAGAGGGAGGAAAGAGGAGTGAGGGAGGTGCAGGAGGGGTTTTTGAAGCAGCTGGAGAAGGGGGGTTGACAGGAAGAGTGTTAAGCACTTTGGGACATGGAGCCCCAGAAGTGACGGGACATTTGTTCCTGTCTCATTTGCATGCTAAGAGAAGAGCCCGGTGGTTCTCTGTTAGGTTGTAGAGATACCTAAATGCCCTGTGGGGTGAAGGTGCCCTCCAGCCACGGAGTTAAGATTAGCTATCCCTGACCTGACACATGACCTCAACCATTAATATAAAAACACATGACCTGGGACAGCAGGAACACAGCAGACAGGCGAGCCTTTCTCTTTCACCTCGCTTTCCCTCAGTTCCATCTGTCTTCTCTGTCTGTACCTCCTTTTTTTCTCCTGACTCCAACTATGCTTGCACCTCAGTTTTCCCCACATCTTCCTCCCCCTCTTTCCTTGTGGTTTTTATTCAGCTACTTACCTGCAAAAGCCCCAGTGATAATTGAAATGGGCTTGAATCACCCACTTGGGGCTCTGCTCATATTTCCCACTGAGGAGTATGAACGTTTTCCCAACAAACTTTAAAACAAACTGAGCACCAAGGAAGGCTTTATTCCTGCTTTGCTTATTCATGAGATTGACATTCACCAGCATGCAAAATTTAGACCCAAACAGGGCTTGCTGCTCCACTTGCTTCATCTCTGCTCTCTTTAGGGCAGGAGCTGTGACCCCATGCCAACAGCTGAGCCAGACTCGCCCACGCACAAATAAACAGAAGAATATAACCAAATACATATACTGAAATTAACACTTGAAAACACCCATGTGCAACAGCTGTAATGCAAACAAGCTCTATTAACTCTGTTATATTGTGAAACATCTTCAGCCGTACAGTAAGCTTCAATCAATTAGCCGCAGTTATTTAAGAAGAAGAACTTTTATAAGAAGATACTTTTATTAATACCCGAGGGGAAGTTCAATTTTTTCACTCTATTGTCATATACACACAGGTCCGAAATACACACATGCACAAACAAGACCTTTACATGCATTAAATGGAGTGATGTTAGGCTGCCCATGGACAGGTGACCCGAGCAGTTGGGGGTTCGGTGCCTTGCTCAAGGACACCTCGGCAGTACCCAGGAGGCGAACTGGTTTTGAGCAAAATATATTTGGTAACACTTAACTTTAACTCCTCATATTTAGCATTTATAAGCACCTTCAATACATGTTTTATATATATATATATATATATATATATGCCTTTATTAATGTATTTATCAACAACTGTAATACCTGTGGACACTAATGTGTTAAGACCAGTGAATTAAAAGATAATGAGACAATATAGTAAAACATAGTTGTAATAACATAAAATATGTCGTAAAGCTCCAGTGTGTAGGATATAGTGGCATCTTACAGTTAGGTTGCAGAATTGAAACCCCTCTTGTGTGCGAAAAGTGTATGCGAACAACGATGGCCAAGATGAAACACGTATGGGCCTATCTGGAGCAAGCGTTTGGTTTGTTCATTTCAGGTTACTGTAACAAAATGGCGGACTCCGTGTAAGAGGACCCGCTCCATATATGGATATAACAGTTCATTCTAAGGTAGCGAAAACATAAGGATTCCTAGTTTCAGGTCATTTTACACTACTGAAAAAATAGTTATGAACGTTTTATACCTTTTCTGCCAATAGGTGCCCCTAAAGCCTACACACTGGACTTTAATAGAAGTGTAGACAAACACTATACACTAATAAACAATTAAAATTTCCCTATATGTGCTTATTACATGATAGTGTAGCATAAACCATGTATTAAATGTTTCGATAGTGCTCATGAATTCTAAATTGTGGGTGGGGATGGTTATAGTAAAGTGTTACCCTATGGTTTTTCTGCAAATACACAAGAATAATTACAGTTGCAGCAAAAGGTCACTGCATGGAGCTGACTCACTTCTTAAGCATTTTTTCTTTTAAATTAAGTAGACTGTCGTATGTAATTTCTGCATAAGCTGAAATAAAAAAGAAAAAGCCCAATAATTTCCACAAGTTGAAGATGACATCTTCAAATGGCTTTGTTTCCCAAAAGTTTGGTATTTTTCCCTGAAAAAAGATTGATCAATTTATTGTCCAATCGTTACAGCTCTTTATCTGACGCTAAATTTATTATATTTTATAACTTCTCAGTAGCATATTGAAGATTGTAACATAGTAAAGTGTCTTTTTTCCCTGTGACATTAAAAAAACATTTTTTTTGCTTTCTTTTCCCTGATTTCCTGAGTAATGTGGCAAACAGTGACCACGCTCCTCTCCAGGCTATGTGAATGTGAGTGTACTGCTTTGTATGCTTGATGCCGGGTAATTGCAGTTCATTTCAACTGGGAAAAAATATTATTCTCACGCCTCTGTGTGTTACGCCCAGAAGGCAGCGCTCTCTATGTGTAAAGTATCTGTCTCTCTGACATTTAGATTTGCCTTTTAAAGATGACATTTTTCAAAACTGGCATTTCTTCATATGTTTTCTAGAGGCGACAAAATTATTCTTTTACATCCCAGTCAGAGTGTTCATATAAGTGTGTAATTTATCCAACCTTAAGTTGTTTGGTTGTTTTGTTTTCCTTTGTTAATGTTGATATTATTTCACGATGCACTGAAATTGTTGTTATTGTCTGATGCTGATATCAGTGTCTGATAGTTGTACCTGTCTGAATATTATCCTTACTTACATTGCCTAAAGAATCCATGCTTGTTTTAATAGATGCTTCAATTTTGGCATTTAACTGCGTTGGCGGTGGCTGAGGCTGGGGGAGTGAGGGGATCATCTGCAGAGAAAAACACAAAGTGCAGTAAATCAGTATGATTTATACGTGACACAAATAACCTATATAGCAACAGCTTGACAGGTTTGGACGGCAGTTTTTGGGGTGTCAGACGGAGAATTAATGGCGTGCTGAATGCACAGTTATCGAGGAGACAAGCTCATCTTTGAATGACTCCTTTGAATCACTGGAGATTTCCAATTACTGCACTCTGGTGCTGTGCAATGAACCTTTATCCATTCTGCAAATGAGCATGCTATCCCTAAATAATTTCCTCAACAAAGATGGTGCTGCGCATTATGAAATATTCAGAACTCAATTTTCCTGCTCTATCAGACTTTGGAAAGATCCATAATTACACGATAATCCACAATGTAATTCATTTTGGGCACTTTGGGAATATGAGTTCTCTTCACAGTAAAATGTTAAATGTGTTGGCGAAATGGGATGAGGCCTGCTCTGTGGCATTTGCGATTGTTTTTAGGGGGATTATGAGTGACAATCTTATTTTAGCATTATTCCCCACAAAGGCTGATATCTTCAGGGTCATTCAAAAAGTCCGCCTAATGACGCGCTGTAGCCTGGCAGCTGACACACTGGCGGGTATTGTCAGACAGACTTACAGACAATCATACAGTACATAAACAAAAAAGAACGACAAACAGTAATCACAAAAAGTGCTAAAGTACCTAGGCGCATAAACTTTCCCTGTGAGTGGCTGTAATCTTCTGAGAATGGCAGGTTTATGTTAAAAACTAACGGCAGCACATCACGTTGTAATTTCAGATGTGGTATAATAATACAGAGTAATAGAACAGCGTTAGAGAGCAAAAAGTGTGTGGTGGTGTTTGATTATGGCTCGCTGGCCAGAAATGTGGGGTTAAAGTTCAGTTAATGTGCAGTACACATCTATGCTCCAATGAGGCATGTGTCAGATATATTGGCGTTTTAAAAGTAAACAGAAAAGGTCTGTTGTGTTTGAGACAGAAGGCCAATTGGCCAACATGGTCATTGCCCATCTGTGTGTGAGCATACAGTGGTCCACAAATGAGTACAAGTATATTATCCGCACAATAATTTACATTGAATTGTGTGCCATAAAGAGTGTGCTTCACATTTGCCGCGTAGCTGCTGCCATATACTTGTAGAAGTTTATAATGTATAATACAATTTAGACAGCTCTATCTCACCGTAAGATATTTAAGAAAGTGGGCCATAAAAAAATCCCTTAGCCACTGGCTTTAAAACCAATAAAGTTAAATGGAGCCGCTGACATTTTTAGTATTGCATTATTGTAAGACAGCCCTCCAACTGCATGTGTGTGCGCAGCCGATGAGGTGGAGAGTGTCAAAACAGCTGTCAGTCACCGCGACACAACGCTCGGCATGATGACGTTAATGACGCTCTTGTTAAAATGTGAAGCCCGAGTGATAACCGTGCCGAGCTTAAAGGCCAAAGCTGTCACAGCAGAGGAGAACAGACAGCGGAGCGGAGCGGTGTGGTGGAGAGGCTGCTGGAGTTCACAGATGCGGAGCATGACACCACCTGCACAAGTCAACCATGTTACACTGATGTCTCTCTCGCTCAAAACATGTTTTGTTGCATAACAACAGTTAAGAGACGACAGAAGCAGATCCTTACAGTGAAAACAGATCTCTACAAAGTGATCTAACACACATCTAATCTCTTTTAACAGATATCTGCATATGTATGCAGAATCTGTAGGCAACGAAGCGAGAACCTCAGTATTGGAAGTGTTCTGGTTTCCATTTGTAGTCCGAGTAGTATTGACTAATCACGTTTGAGCAGCAGGTAAACAGTCCCTGTGAAGAACACAAGAGGTAGAACACATTGGTGAAATGCAACTTCAGAACCTTTATCTAATTTATCTACATTCATATGCAGATATCTGTTTATAGATACTAGCCGAAATGACCTGCGTATGGAAGAGAAAGCGTTGGCTTGGATATCTGCTTGCTACACCAGAACCCTCGAAATACTGGCCGTTGTGGTCAGACCGATAGCTGATTGGCTGACTCCAAGATCAAGAGGCACCTAAACCACTGGTACAGCACATCGGTTTTAGAAGCCACATCATTAGTTAAGTGGGGATCACCTGCGTACAGTCAAAGGGTTTCAGTTGATTGCACCATATATACATCTGTAAGCGGAAGGTCCATTTTGGTGAGTCTATCGATGTATCTTCATACAACAGTTCGTATACGTATCTTATGAAAATGCAGATATAACGGTTTGTAAGATATCTAATAAATTAGCGGCCTACGACTGACCTTATCACGTTAAATACTTAATATAAAGTTACGTAGATTAGGTTTAGGAAAAGAAACATGTTAATGACGTACCTTAAAATAACTCAGAGTTTACTTGGTGTCACACAGGACACAAACACGGGTCTCTTGTGGGCAAGTCCTGTGTTTGTTTGATCCCTCCATCACCCCAACCTGCGTCTGTGCATGGACTTTTACTCTTTATAATACTTCCATCTTTACTCCCGTTAGCGCATTGGCTATATGATCGCGACCTTTCTGATTACGTGGATTATATACGAATCACTGGCTCATGATTAAATTGGTTATATTCGAGTCCTGGTGCATTTTTTTTGTAGGTATACATATAAACAGCGTATGAGAACGGCTTGAGTCACTACTTTGACAAAACCTACACTATGAAAACACAGGAACACACTAAGAAATGGAAAGAGTGTAGCACAGCTGCCTCGTGTAGTCCGGCTGAGTGAGACCCATGACAACCATGAAGGAGTTACAAGCTTCAGAGGTTGATGTTGGAGAGACTGTGCATGCAACAGTAGTTGCCTGGTTGCTTCAACAGTCATGGCAAGATGGCTTCAGTTAGCCACAGGGCATGTAAGAGAAAAAGGTCCTATAGCCTGATGAGACCAAAATGTATCTTTTCGGGCATCAGTCTATAAGCCAAGTGACTCTGCACATCACCATAGTCACACCACCCCCAACATGAAGCATGGTGGTGGCAGCATTGTGATGTTTGTGGCCACTCTGTACAAGTCTAACATTCACTCTCTTTAAGCTCTCTTATTGGACTCTACCATCTCCTGAGGGAACTATCTGGCTCTACAGCTGCTAAATGCTCCACACCAGCTAGCTGCTAACTGTGTCTGTTTGCATGTCTGGTGCTGAGCAGATTTCTAGAGCGTCTAAAGTTGCAGGCTGGACAGCTTAAGAATGACCTTAAAGTCCCCATAAAGCTGCATAAAACCGAGGAGAGCTGCATATTTAAGCGATGATTATCAACTTGACAGGGGCTGAGCAGAGGAGGAAATGAGCAAAAGAGAATGGAGGAAATTGAAGTGTCCAGATGTGCAAATTCATAGAGACATATCCGCACAGATTCAAAGCTGTAACTGCAACCAAAGGTGCTTCTGCTAAACACTGACTCGGAGAGGGTGCAAATGAGTATTATGTATCTCAGATTTGTTGTTAATTTCGTTAACTTTAGATCTGTTTTTGTGTTGATCAGTGTAAAGAAAAGCCACATTATATCTACTTTGATTTAATGTTTTCTGTCTGGCATCACATAAAATGAACAGACGAGGTAAATACTTCATGATATAAGGCTATAGGAGGATGTGGCCAGTTTTCAGAGTGTACCTCAGTCTGTTGTTCACAACATTAGTCATTTCCCTTTTGAAAAAAAGACATTTTTGTCAGCGTAATCAAACCCTGATGTCCCTCATTTTCTCAACACCATTTTGTGATGAATTCCCATCTGCAAAGTATTTCCGAATACTTTGCCCAAGGAGGTGTAATTTAAATAATATCAGTCACCGTGCTGCTGCCAGAATAAGAATTATGTCTGCGCTAATATCTCATCTGACACGCAGCAGAGGAAAGACTTTCCTCCTGAATAACAAAAATGCAATAATTCACCCAACGTTATTATCAACCTAATTATAATGGGAAATATAGTCGAGTCCGTTTTCCTGCTTGAATTCAGAACAAATTAGTAAAATGATCAGTTATGTTAATCTTGTTCAGGATGGTTGACTATCAGTCATTTAAAGACCACAACAGAGATGTTTAATGGCACTGAGTTAGCAGCGAAAGTGGGTAAAATGAGGCCACAAACTAAAACACATACTCAACAACACCTTCTCCACGGTCTTATTTAAAGGTCACATGAACCGTATAAATATTAAACATTCATATCAAATTTACCATGGTATGCAAACTAACCACACACCAAGAGTCATCCCATTTTCCAGACATATTTTCATAATTATATCACTATAACAAATTTAATGAGAGCAATCAGCACTGAACATTTTTGCCTCCAAGGAAGCAGAGGTCCCAGTCAGTCACAGAGGTACTTCTTGGTCATTCTTTATTAATTTGCAGAGTGTGTTCTCCGAGTGTCAGGGTCTCGGCAGTGTCGTTCCCCAATGACTCCTACCTCCAAGCCTGCTGCACGAGGGGGGCCCTAATTAGACTCTCATGTGTATTTAATGGACTCGCTGCCTTTGGTCCTGTGAGGGAGCGCCTGATGCTACAACCTCTGTGCGAAGGTCCCTCCACTCATGGGAGTCACTTTGGAGAGGAACTCGGGGTGTCATGTGTGTGTGTGTGTGTGTGTGTGTGTGTGTGTGTGTGTGTGTGTGTGTGTGTGTGTGTGTGTGCTTGACAGGACCCAAACCTGAAGCTGAACTGCAGCAGTCCAAAGTTACGTGTCATTTTTCTGGCTTTGTCCATCCTTGGGTTGAAGACCTTTTCAAATCTGTAAACACAAGCAAACAAATACCCAAATTTCATTTTTTGACATTGACTTTATCTTTAAAAAACTTTTTTTCTTTTCTTCTGAATTCATTAAATCCGAATGTATTTCAGTGTCTTTTCTTTTGACAAGTGACAAAATACCAAATAAGGTAATATCTCTTTTTTTATTTTAAATGGGCCATGCATCCAAATGTATTTTTCTTATGTTTATTAAAAGGTCATTCACTGACAAAGAAATGTAAGGTATGGCATTTTACATAGTGACTTTTCTTATGTTCGGGTTCAGTTGGATCTCAAAACTATGTACAGATTATTTCATTTTTTAGCCTTTCTGCCTTTGTTTAAGGTACACATAAATAGTGAAAGAATAGGAGGGAGAAGAGAGAGGGGACAACATATAACAAAAGGCCCCAGGTTGGAATAAAAGCAACCAACTACACGGGGTAGACACATTACCAGGAGAGCTACTGGGTTACCGACAACAGAAATCCTAACAGACTTATTTGAGACTTGGAAGGGGCAGTGTAGGCAAGACAAGAATCTATTGTGGTTGACTAGGTTTTAAAGCTAGGGTCTCTCAGACCCCATACAGATGCTGTAAAGCCTTTTCTCTAGTGGACTTTTAAAACATGTTACCAATTTAAAATCATGTTTTAAGTCAAATCATTTACTTACAAGGTAATAAAATAATATTATGCATGTTTCTGAGCTGTTACAGAGGACCTGGGGTTTCCAGGACCCCAAACAGAACACTGGAGTTAAAGGGTCGGTTCACCCAAATATAAAAACAACATATTTCGTCACTTTGCCCTCAAAATGGTTAGCCATGTATGCAGCTATGACTCTGGGGGCCCAGGCAAAGAAGCCCATTGAGGCCCTGTCCTAACCAACAGTATCCAGCTAGAAGGTAGTCGGTTTTTGGGGGGTTAGCTGTGGTGCACTCTTTAGTTCTTTATGGGAGGTTTAAAGATGTCCTTGCAAAATGGGCCAATATGAGTAGCCATAAGAGGGCCCCATTTCCCAATTTTTCTGGGGGGCCCCCAAATATTTGTCTGGTTTGCCTGTCCTGACGGTGCACCCCTGCATGTATGTTGTTTGGTTTTATTTGTCCAGGTTTTGTGATATCTGTTTCTGAGATCTCTACCTCCACCCACACAAATAGGGTGAACAAAATTTAAATGGAGCTGCTCATATAGCATTGACAAACTACATTTATATTCAACAGCAATGTTTCTTTCTAGAATTAGTGTCCCGTTTACTCTGGATAATTTACAAAACATGCTGTCAATGATTTTTAATAGAAACCAAAACAGTTTACAGTGAGGTGTGCGGATCATCAGACCAATGGGAACATTGTTCCTGGAAAAGGGGTGTTGCTGTTAATATTTGCTGTTAAGGTATACTATGCAGGATTTCCATAAAAAAAATGTACAAACTCATGCAGAAGTAATCCCTCTCAGTCATAACTCATGACCCCTTTCTCCTGCTGATCCTCTGCCCTCTGCCTGTATTTTCATATTTTCTGTGCCTGGGATGTTTATAGGTGTGTACCACCACAGTGCTCAGGTGAGGTTGGGGCTTTATAAAAAGGTAGCGACCATGCGCCAGACCATAGGCAGCAGGCATCCAAGAGACAGCACAGAAAAAAACACAAACAGCAAGGCGAAATGCCAAACTGTGTGAATCTGGGGCTGGCTTTTACTTTCAATTTTGCTGGCGAGCATGTTTACAAACAGTAACCGACAATCATTTTAGCATTTTTACCTTTATTGGACAGCTGTCAGGAGTAAAGATTAGAGTACGCACCAAATGTCCATGACTAGAATTGAACTGGGGTTGATGCGGTTATATAGTCTGTGTCTTAAACACTCGGCCACCAGGACACCTGCATGGGTGAGTGGCTGCTTAACTCTCACCAATTTGAATGTTTTTACTTTCAGAGCGGTCTGTTTTAATGAGGACAGACATCTGGACCGATCTCACAATACGGGGCTGTGATGAATGTGACCCCTGTGGTAAGCCCTTGCCCCCAACCCCACCAGGACACATAAAGCAGTAGCAGAGCCCCTGTTAAAAGGCTGCACGCCGACATAAATCGGTCCTGGCGCTTCTTAACTGTCCAATTTGCATGGCCCCTACACAAAGAGGCTAACGATGTTTTACAAGACAAACACGCACAAAAACACAAATATTCGTGCAGGTGGATGAAAAGGTGGCGCTTCACTTATTATACAGATGTTGAACATGTTTTTGTGTCCACGAATAAAATCTAAGCCTCTCTGATGTGACTAAACCTTGAAACTACAAACAACAGTTGTGTAAAAAAACCCATACAAATAGATGAAATCTTTGAGAGAAACGCAAAGGTTTTTTAAAAAGTGAGTGAAAGAGAAAACACAAAGACAGAAAATAGAGAAGGAGCGAGACTGCCGATGGGAAAAGGCAAGATGAAGAGGGTGGTGAGATGGGAGTCTGGGTAGTTTTATCTGGTGGGCAGGGAGATGGTGGCGGGAGGATCTGTCTCTGTTAGAGAGAACACGGCCCTGTTATTAAAGCCATTCATCACTGGCTGAATATTCTCCCTTTAATAGGCTCTGTCGTTAATTACCCAACTTTGTCAAGATAGGGAGTCAGGGGCGCTCTGTTTTCTCAGCCCGTACACAGACAAGCTCACAAGTACACACATACACACATACATGCTTGAACACATCAGCAGGTGATGGGACGCATTTTCACAGCTTCAGTTGCAGGAGAAGGCGCGTACACACACACACACACACACACGCACACACACACACACACACACACACACATCAAAAGGAGCGTTTTCTACCTTTCTCTTTCTGCCTCTGTGAAGGCTTCACATGCAACAACAGCAACACCTGTACAGTATAATGCAATCCAATCCAATAGTCCTGCAAGAAATACTACCTTTGTGAAGCAAAGGTCTGTCAGAGGGTGTGTTGATTCAATCCTGTTGTAATTTTCAAGGCCATCGTTTGTGGTGGTGTTGAGCTGGATTGCATTGAATTGCACCGATTTCAATCCTCCCCCTGCTCCTCCTTAATTTGTCTACGGTTGGGCTGAAATGATCCGTCGATTAACTGATTATTTCAGGGACAGGAAATGATTTGAAAAACAATTTTTAAAATAAAAATGGCAAATTTATTGGTTCCAGTGTCTCGAATGTGAGTAATTGCTGTTAGTGTTTTTTTTTGTTTTTTTTTTTTTGTCTTAGTGGAGGAATGTAACTAAGTACATTTTCTTAAGTAGCTACTGTGCTTGAGTACAAAATTGAGGTAACTGAGTATTTGCATTTAATGATAATTTGACTTAAAATTCATTACAATTCAGAGAGGAATTTATTTGACAGCGGTTTTTGGCGGTTACCTTTCAGATATATTAAATATTATAGATTAATCTAGGGGTGGGAATCACCACCCCTAGATTAAACTGCAAACTGCAATTCTAATAATAATCTAGTAATATAATATGTACAGTAATAACACTCACAGGGGTCATTTTGTCTGTATTATGAGTATTTTTTTACATGTAATATAATATTTGTATATATCAGTATTTAGAAAACGAGGTCATCCGTGATAGTAAATTAAATATTTTTGTGGTTGAGCTATTAATTGGACAAGACATTTGAGGGCTTTGATGGGCCTTTTTCATTATCTTCTGACATTGTAGAGACAAAACGATTAATCCATTAATGAGGCAAATTATCAACAGATGAATTGCTAATGAAAGTAATAATTGGTTGCAGCTCTGGTCCACTGTACTCTGTTGGAAAAGGATCACAATGAGATCTGACCACCCCTGCTTCATCTAAGTGAATCCACTCGTATCAACACTAGGTGTATGAGTAGGACTTTATTTCTGTTGAGCTAAGTTTGTCAGCTGCCCCACGCAGGAGGCTACAGGGCCACAGTCTCCTCCGCCTCCTCCTCCTCCTCCTCCCCTTTATCCCTAATCAGACTCTTCTGTGATCCTTTTATAATTAGCCACTTAACTATCCGGCAGAATGGAACTGTGGCTGTAAAGCATTTACAAGGGTACTCGACAGGACACGCCAGCACCTTTTGTTTAGCAATTAGTTTGTCTGTGAAGGGGACAAGACAAATAGGCTGGGAGAGCATCTGGTGGCCTCGTAGCTCTTGCTGCCTGAGAGATAGAGAGAGGGAGAGAACGGCAGAGAAGGAGGAAGAAAGAGGTTCAGAGCCATTCAGCAACAATAAGGATCGTACCACAAGGATTTGCTACAAGGGCTGTAAAGTTTACAGTCGGAGGAAACTGATCTGGAAATGAATAAAGCAGCTCTGACAAATATGATGATAAGAGACTCAGAGAGGGCTGTGTAATAGGGACCTATTTTTCGTACACTACTGATTAAGAACTGGCTAAGTGTCTGTAGAGATTCCCCTGTGCACAATGCAGCACAGGCAGAGTTTAGTATGCGTCCCAGTAGGGTTTCCTTTAGTACCCAGTCATTTACATTGTAGTTATCTGAAGATAGAAGGAATGCAAGGCAGCTTGACAACCGCTCCATTGATCCCTTTGGCCTGATTAGCTCACCAGTGTACCGTCAAAGCAAACTAATCAGATACATTGATCATGGAATACTTTTTAACGCTTCCCCAGGCAATAATATGATTTTTCTCAAGTCAAATTACTAGTTAGTTATCTGTTCAGATGTGACGCCAGACATTTGGGATTTTCAACATTTCCTGTGAGATGTCGGTGCGAGTCAATGGCTCGATTTCAAACTCTGTAACTGTTTAGCAGCAATGCAGTAATGACAGTAAAGTGCCGTTTAATTTCCTGAAGCATTGTCATAATTTCTGAAAACCTGGGTTTGTCAGACTCGCAGTGGTAATAGGTGTTACTCACGTCTGTTGTGTTGGCTCCATTACACCCTCTGCTACTTTCACGTTTGTCCAGAAGAGGTTGCTGTGTTCCCTGCATACAACAGAAGGTGGATGGTCATGACAGATCCCAAAGATTTCTTTCTATGAGTAGGAGAGAGGGAGTGACAAGTTGAGTGTAAAATCCTTGGAATTGAAGATCCATTAAAAGTAGCGTCTATTCATTGAGCTCCTTCAACAGAATAAACAGTTTACACTAATTAAAATGTCCAAATAAAAACAAAAATGGAATTAAATTCCAAAAACAAAATGTGTTGTAATATCTGAACCATAATTAACAGCTATTTGTTGCCTGTACAGCAAGTTAAGTACACAAATGAGAGAAATATTTGTGCTGGTAGTCATCAGCCTGCAGCTCCTCATCACTGAGAACCCACTAATTGATTATAGATGTCATTTCCATCATTGACAGTAGGGGGCAGGATCCATACATTGATTAGACTTCCATTATGTGTAGGCCAAGTAATTGTACTGTGATGCCTATTAACACACAATTACACATCTTTGGAGAGCAATGTTTTGCTTGTTGACTCACGCACGTTTATTTGCTTGGACTGTCTATTAAGTTTCAGAGAACTGCTCTGACTGTTCGGCGTGTGACTTCTGAAAAGGGGATTTAAGGGAAAAAGAGCACGGCTTGCATCTTCAGAGTTAAATATTCCTTATCCCCATTTACACCAATATCTAAACAAGCCCCACGACAGAGTCTGAACAGCTGCGAGAGATATGAGTCTCTCTCTCTGATACCTGTGTTCCTGTGACGCTGGTGATCAAACGCTGTGATAGCATAACATCCCTTCCTGTCTGTCACACCCTCAGGCTAAACATCAGCAGAGCGCCTTGCAGCTGGCAAATGTTCTCATGACAAAGTTAAAATGTCTCGATTAATATCCGACTACTCTTATCCGCCTCTCTGCTTTGGCTGCTTATCCATCTTGTGATTTCTGCTGGATACATGCTCCTTGGTAATGTTACTGCATCAGCAGGGAGAGGATTCAACCAGCGGGAAGATTTGATTCAGAGGAACTGAAGAATCTCTCTCTGTTGTTTGATGAGTGTGCTTTGTAGCCTACTTATGATACTATGATGTGTATGTCCTGATCTAATGGCATGTGCCTCATCTTGTTATCAAAAAGATTTCTGAATCATATAAAAGTATTTTTAAAATGTATTTAGTCTTTATGTAACAGGGTTTGTCCCATTGAGATTAAAGTAGGGTTGCAGTGGTATATCATGAAACAGTATACTGTGTTATGAAATTTGACAGTTATCATACAGTGAACATTTGCTTATCTATGGTAATGGAAAAAATTACAATCGGAAGAGGAATCTGAATTGTGCATGGCCATCTCCTTTGCTCCTCTGCTGCCTGTCAAAATTGTTCTATGTGCTTCCATTAAAAAAGTGGTTTCAAGTTTCAATTATAGCAAAGCATTTGTTCAACCAGAGGAAAACCTTCTGTTTTCATTCCTTTTAAGGGCCATTGCAGCTGATAATAAAAATAATAATTGTGTAATACTGAATACCGTGAAACTGTGATAGTTTCTATGGTGGTTATCATACCGTGAAAATCTCATACTGTTGCAACCCTAGATCAAAGATCTGGCCAAGAATAACAGCAGCACAGAATTTTAACAGTCACCATGAAATTAACATGGAAACACACAGATTGAATAACGCTAAAATGATCAGATAAAACAAAAGATTTCACCATATTTTAAACTCATTTACAGTCACCATGTCTTGAAGCTTAGGATCATTCTGCAGATTGTTCCATGCAGTACAAGCAGAGAACCTAAAATATTTTTTTCCATGTTCAGTGCTGACTTTAGCCACAACAAAACGCAAAAAGTCCTGTTAACAGAGATTGGAATTTCCATATTTCATATTTAACAAAGATGATAAGTATGTAGGAATCTTGCCAAGAATAGCTTTGTCAATAAAAACAGAGCAGTGACCGAGGCGGCTTGAGCAGAATGAGGTAAATACAGCAGATGCCTAATATTCTGTCATTACAATATGTGACGACCAATTGACCACCAGGAAAATGTCTCCAAATGTTTTTGACTTGTACACCTTTAAAACTTAGTAATATCTACATGTCACCCTCGTTTGCATTAGTGGTATGTACCTTTTATTGTTTAAATGTTTTTGTTTTTTTTAATTTAACAAAGGGAGAAATCTATCTGAGAATTCACAAGAAAATAGCAAATGTCTGAAAAATAAACATAAATTTGTGCAGCAGAATATGCTTTTTTAAAAATTCTGTCCTATTCCATTTCAATTTTTTCACGCACATCCTTTTGTCCGATTTGTGGTCACACATTTAGCACAACATCTGTCTGTTGTGGACCATAGTATTAATACTATTCATGCTGTTGCAAATCCTCAGTATGCTGTAAATTAACATGACTCTAAAACAATTAAATTTTCTTTACATACAAGCTTACCACAATTATGGATCTTGTTCAAAACCTTAAATGTAGTATAAAGCCTCTTCATCTGCAACAACAGCAGCACATAAGCTATATTAAATTTACAGTTATAATTTCTGGACTCCTCAGATTTATTTGTGGAGGGTCTTGACCCACAGGTTGGGACACGCTGCCCCAGACGGCGTCCACTCATGCCAGGAAGTGAAGGTCCCATCAGTGGTGTTTCTCCTTCTCTGCAGTTAATGTCTCATCCGTCCATCAACTTTTAACCAGGCCTCATGCATGATGGTGTGTGACTTAAAAGCCTGGCTCGTCAGGCCTCATTAGCCAACGCCTAATCAGACAAGTCCCATGCAAGGACACAAAGCGGATTGTGGAGAGCAGTAAAGACCTTCTCTGTGGTTGACTCAGCAGAGGAAGACAAAGACTTAAAAGCAGACGAGGACCCCTGTCTGTGCTGCGTTCACATCACAAAAAACCATTATGACTTAATAATCTGATGGCATGTGAGCTTATTTAACTACAAGTTGGACTCAAATGTAATAATATGAAGGACTAAAATTTCTCTTATTCTTCAAACAATCTCCTCCCTCTGAATTTCTGTGTTCCTCTTGTGTCTCTGTTTCCACATCTGTTCAATAGCCCCCCTGTTAATCATTTCTGTAGTGTTGCCTTTTTACCGGACCTCTGAGACCCAAACCCTGGTGTACCTGTTTGGAGTTTGATTAACACTGCATTTTAGCACACACTATTCAAACCCAGTAGAGGGAGCTTAAAAGGGTTGTGTGCTGGAGCTAATGTAGCCTGTGGTACAGGACAGATGGAGAAGTGATAAATGGGGAAGAGGGATGGTTGTGAGTCAATTCTTGTTTCCTTCATTGTGTAAAAATTGCCCTGATACGGAGACGCTGAAGTTGGAGAGTGGGCTTTTGAGGCAGCGTTTTTCGGGGCGGTGTAATCTAAGAGGAGAGGAGAGCACTTCAGAGGACGGGAGAGGACAGGACACCAGATAGGAGAGGACGAGACAGGAGGAGGCAGGACAGCGGTGCAGCCGTGTCTCCTCACTCTGTCAGTCCCCGAGCACTAAAATATTGAAAAGCTTTTGTTTTGCCTAGTTAAACATGCACTGATGTGACACAAACTGTGAACAATGCCATTTCACACACGCGGGAATCCTCTCTCTTTATAATTCATGATCAAGTGACGACTGCAGTCGCGCCCCACAGTTTGCTCTCAACATAATACAGCTGGTACATATACTTAGAAAAACATTTAGCTTGGTAAACATACAACAGTGTCAAAATGAACGTGTGTTGTTCTTGTCAATTATAATATTTCAAACTTGACTCCTGGGAACACATGACCAAAAATGACCCATTTTAATGGGCTGAGTTTTGTCTCCTTCACTCAGGACACAGTTTGTTGTCCTGTCTGTGTCTCTGTAACATCATATGCGTAAACAGAGAATTGAATGAATTGGGAAAAGTTGAAAAAGGTGACTTTAAAGCCCATTATAACTTTTTTCCCCAACGGTGGCACATTTTCTTGCTGAAAAAGGGACAGCACTGTGGTAATATGAAACTCAGATAGATGCAAGTACAGATGTTTTTTGAGCATATAGGTCAGTCTCCAGTTCTCATTGGACCAGACGCCATTCTCACAAAGGAGTTTAAAGAAAAATCTTGAAAGGTTATTGGAGAAGAAAAGGGAAAGAGACGCTTTGGGAAGAAGATATTACAAAGGCTCCAAAGAGCAATTATCTATCCTTCCCTGACATCAAGTCTCATCTGTTACAATATTCTCCTTCCTTAGCTGCAACCTATTGAAGTTCTGTCCAGAAGCAGCACTTTATTTATGCTTTCTTTAACAAGTACCTAACTATAGGAGAAGGCAATGGCATTAGGTACTACCTAGAGGCTGAAGGACTATTAAGTGTAAATGTTTAGTTTGCTAACTTCTTTTCATTAAGACATGGAGCAAAACAGAACAGTAAGAGACAGGCTGCTATTATCTTATTGCAGATACAGTACACTGGTGTTGGCGTATATGTCAGACAGACAAGAAATTGCAGTGCTGACATGCCAGAAAAATGTTTGAGGTAGTTTAGAAACAGTCTCTTGCCATTACGCAGTTATTTTTCAACTGTTAAATGTCCGGCTCTGGCAAAGTCGCCAGCAGAAAATGCTGGCATTGTGCATTTTTGCCAATCTCAAATATTACATTTGCGTATTTCATACATTTCACATTAAAGCTTCTAAAGTGATGTAGTAAATGAACTAACTTTGTCATCAGGAAGTGAGGGAAATAGTGGAGGTGGAGTGGATAGTGGATGGCGTGTCACCTGCCAAGCTGCAGACCACTCTCTGAGACCAACAAACACCAAAACTGTTTTTTATTTAATGAGTCATTGCTGTGTTTCTAGTTGCTTTAAGCCCCCAAATATGGATGGTTGTAGGGACCCGTTGCTGGTTTTCCACCAGGGATCGGGCCACGGAAAGCAGTTGTTTTTTAAACGAGACATAGCTGCATTTCCTGCTGGGATAGTTCCTGAAGAGAGGTTGTTTTTTACCGAGACATTGCTGCTTTTCCAGTGAGGATTGTGCCCCCAGACCAGATATTTTAAGCAAAAATGTG